GTGACTCACGGCCTACCCGTACCCGGCCGTACCAGGGTCACAAACGGGTACCCGTACCCGGCCGGGTACGGGTATCGGGTACCCGGTTGCGACCTCTGTGCTGCTGTGTGTTATTGTGTTGTGTGTTTGATCCCAATCGAGTGATTAGCAGGTGCATTTTCAGCAACATTGGCATCATTGGTTTAATACCAGTCACAGCGTGTGTTTGATTTAGCTATGGGAGGGAACCGGATTTCCCAGAGGAAACCCATGCAGAACAGGGGGAGAATACACAAACTCTACTGACACGCACAAAGACAAAATCCTCCCCACCCCACCATAGCCTTAACAAACTGTAGGGGCAAGTGCTGTTAGCGAGTAGCACCAATGACGGCCGGCATGGCACACGAGGGGGTGGGTGGCCAGCACCACACCTGGCCGCCTTTGTCATTTTAATGAGGCTGAGTCGACCTAGGGGAGGCCCAGGACCGGTTCAGATAATCGTCACTGTTGGTGTTGGCCGTGAGCGGGAATGAACTCGGGTCGCTGGGTTCGTGGCGCAGCGCGTTAACCGCTGCACCACCGCTCCCCTACAAAGGTAAAGATCTCCCGTATAGCCTTAACAGACTGTAGGGGCAAGTGCTGTTAGCGAGCACCTATGAAGGCCGGAATGGTACACGAGGGAGTGGGTGACCAGCACCACGCCCGACCGCCTTTGTCTCCCCAGTGGCAATGTTTACACACCGCACCAGGTACTCATTTGAGGCTGAGTCTACCTAGGGCAAGCCCAGGACCGGTTCAGATAATCGTCACTGTTGGTGTTGGCCGTGAGCGGGAATCGAACCCAGGTCGCCGGGTTCATAACGCAGCGCGTTAACCGCTACACCACCGCTCCCTTACAACAACAACAACCGCCATTCGCCACTAAGTGGCGGTGACGTCACCACGACGCTTGTGCCAGGCCATGTGCACCTTGAGGCCACGTGAAGTGTCGAACGCCCGCTGGCAGGAGATCACGGGGCAGACCCAGCAGTTGCCACGGGTCGACTGACCGAGATGACCGAGATGACTGGCTGATGCACCACCTGTGCCCCCTACTGTGCCAACTTGCTGTGCTTTAGCCACCCGGCGCTCCGCTCGTTGTTGTGAGCTCCAACTACACATACAGATACACACGCATACATACATACAGACAAACACACACAGATATACACACACATCCTCACGCGCTTGCACACACCAAGGCCCCCATTGTGTATTTGCACACGATAGTGTCAACATTTGCCGAGGGCTTACACCCGGGGCAGCCGTCCTTGTATTGTAACAGCCACTCTCGTGTTTCGTAATCTGTACACACATTGTCTTGCATGCTTGGATGCTCCTACAAAGCCCTCCTCTCTGTAACCCATGGGATTCCTCCACGGGGAGCTGAGTTTTATAATTATAATAATAATCACCATTTAGTGCATTTGATTATCGTTGGAAATTAGTATCATCGGTGTCGTTTGTGGTATCGTATTGCTCTGTATTGTCTCCTGTCATTTGGTGTCACGTGATTTGACTTAATTTTGCATTCTAGATTTGAAGCTTTCGTGACTGCAAGGATTCATATTCTTAGGTTTTTTTCGGTAAAGTCACGTAGGTAAAACATTAAAATTAATAAAAGTAAAATAAAAATTAAATAAAAATCACGACGTTTCGGAGGCAACACAAGCTTCCGTCTTCAGGTGGAACCGTCACAGCACGATTGCTGTATCGATTGCTGTATCAAGTAAAGAGCTCTTTACTTGATACAGCAATCGTGCTGTGACGGTTCCACCTGAAGACATGACTTTACCGAGAGAACCAAGAATATAGCAGCAAAATACTCCAAATCCGTGACGTTGATTCTAAATGTGGAGGGATAAAACTGGAGTGCCCAGAGAAAAATCCACGCAACCACGGGGAGAGAGAGAGAGACACGCAAACTCTAAATATGCAGGCGTCGGGATCAAACCCACGACTTCTTGTATACCGGGCGAGGTAGTTAACATCTCCTAGCCACCGTGACGCCCTTGACATCAACGCCGGGTCGTGTGGGTCGTCCGTTTCTCTCACAACGCAAAGCCAGGAAATGTTCAGTGGAAGGAAGGGGTGGAAACTGAAAACAAGATGGGAACATTGAATGGAAGGAGTAATTTGAATTATGTTCGTGATTATTAATAGATTATTGTGATTGTGAGTGTTGCCACACAGATAATCCATAGGCTTTCAAAGATGCCCATAGATTTGTAGAGATCCGTAGACTCACATAGATGCACATACATTCATACAGAGACCCATAGACTCACATAAGCTCCCGTAGATTTGTAGAGATGCGTAGACTCGCATAGATGCACATAGACTCACATAGATACACATACATTCATACAGAGACCCATAGACTCACATAAGCTTCCATAGATTTATAGAAATGCATAGACTCACATAGATACACATACATTCATACAGAGACCCGTAGACTCACATAAGCTCCCATAGATTTATAGAGAAGCATAGACTCACATAGATACACATACATTCATACAGAGACCCGTAGACTCACATAAGCTCCCATAGATTTATAGAGAAGCATAGACTCACATAGATACACATACATTCATACAGAGACCCATAGACTCACATAAGCACCCATAGATTTGTAGAGATCCGTAGACTCACATAGATACACATACATTCATACAGAGACCCATAGACTCACATAAGCACCCATAGATTTGTAGAGATGCGTAGACTCGCATAGATGCACATACATTCACACAGAGACCCATAGACTCGCATAACCTCCCATAGATTTATAGAGAAGCATAGACTCACATAGATACACATACATTCATACAGAGACCCATAGACTCACATAAGCTTCCATAGATTTATAGAGAAGCATAGACTCACATAGATACACATACATTCATACAGAGACCCATAGACTCACTTAAGCTCCCATAGATTTATAGAGAAGCATAGACTCACATAGATACACATACATTCATACAGAGACCCATAGACTCACATAAGCTTCCATAGATTTATAGAAATGCATAGACTCACATAGATACACATACATTCATACAGAGACCCATAGACTCACTTAAGCTCCCATAGATTTATAGAGAAGCATAGACTCACATAGATACACATACATTCATACAGAGACCCATAGACTCACATAAGCTCCCATAGATTTATAGAGATCCATAGACTCACGTAGACACCCATAAACTTACATGGTGATCCATGGACGTATAAACACACACATATATTTATAGAGATTCATAGACCCACAAACACCCAAAAACTTACATTACAGACTTGCATAGATGCTCATCGATGTATACAGGGAATCTATAGACTCGATAATAGACACACAGAGTCTCACAAAGATAGACACCGACCCTGACGCATGTATATTTGGAGTTTGCATGTTCTCCCCGTGATCGCGGGGACGGGGATGGTGTACGTCAACAGCGGCTGTCCTCTATAATAGAGTTTTTTTTTCTGGGTTAGATTGCTTAAATATATAAATGTGTCGTTAAAACCCGCCACCACCCGACACAGCCAACTAGTAAGGGTTGTCACGTAAACAGAACGTGGCCAATTCGTCACTAGTACAGCACTAGTGTGTAGTGTAGTGTATTAGTGTATAGTAGTGTATAGTGTAGTGTATAGTGTAGTGTATAATGTAGTGTATAGTAGTGTAGTGTGTAGTGTATAGTAGTGAAGCTGTATAGTAGTGTATAGTGTAATGTATAGTGTAGTGTAGTCATTGTTTTCTGCAAGGAGCAGAAGAGAGGGGGCGGTGGCGGTGGGGGGGGGTGGGTTTGTTTGGAAATCGGCGAATATTGGGAAAGATTTGCGAGCTCTCCTTGGGCAATCATTTGCACAATCAGGAAACGGGGAGTGCACAGCAGCGGAGAATATAAGGCAAAAGAAGGCATGAATAACGATTTTATTCACCTTCTTGGTTCTCTCGGTAAAGTCACGTAGAAGGGAAATAATAAAATAATAAAAATAAAACATAATAAAATAATTCTCACGACGTTGCGGCCACAACGCAAGCAGCCGTCCTCAGGTGAAGAACATGTCTGTCGGGGAGACAGCGTCTGAATGAAACACCACCAGGCTTGGAGCGTATATTTAAGCTGCTGGGTTGGAGGGGGAAGAGCGCCTTGACAAAATAATTTGCATATCAAGAGGAATTTAGCATATTTATGGGAAATGCAGATATGGGATTAGTCAATACTTGTGGAATGCGTAGGAGGTGGGTGGAGGGTTTCAAATTAATATTATGCCCGTGCATTATGCAGGATTAGCAGCATCAAAGGGTCAACACACTTTTTCTGGCATAAGGTACTGATTCCAAATCTGGCATCAGTTTTTGTCTATCACGTCAGGTTTTTGAGATATCAAATATTGCATTTTCAATCAAAACTGCAGAAGAAAAATATTAAATGAATGTGGATATCTACATAGAATTATATTATAAACACACTATCCTAAAAATACAGCACCATATTTTAACACCAAAGCAGTCACTGACTCGCAACAACTTGCAATCATAAGTGAGAGGACTCCCCTAACTGGTCTGGCACGACCCATCATCCCGTCATAGAAATGTGGAATTTCCACCACTGGCTGAGGCCTGCGCAGAGCACCCATGTCTCAACAGCTCACGTTTAAGCAGGAACTCGCTTTGACCTTGACTTCAGTTGAGTTAAAAACAAGTAAAATACAAAAAAAAAATATTAGCCACGAACATTTATTATTTAGAGATGATTCAACATAGCCTCGTAAATTACACGCATCACCACATTCATCCGGAATGTCAATCCCAACACCCCTACGAAGTTTTGGAAAGTGGCACAAACCACTTTTCCACCCCCCCCCCCTCCCGCTCCACACAATGTTGGGGGAGGAAAAAAAACCCTTCTTACAACGCTCGTAGTGGTAGCACCCGGCAAGTGGCACATGCTTGGATGAAAAGCCTCCCTTTGGCAACGAGAGAAAGTTTGCTGGGGCGGTTGGTCGCGTGGTCGCATGGCTTCCTGTCAACCCAACAAAACTTTCACCACCACCACCACCAACAACAACAATAATCAAGAAGAACAAGGATATTAATCGTCGCCAACCGGCTTTGCAGTCTTCGCCGTGGGAGCTTGGCTCGGAGCGAGCCGAACAATTTGGCAGCGTCTCCTCCGAAAGGTGGCTTATAGCGGCACGCGTTCTCGCTTTGGGGCGAAAGCATCGCCCGAATTGTTGGCCAGATCTTGGCCCGCTGGAATTTTTACCGTCATCGTCAGGGTAGAGGAGGGGGAGCGAGCGAGCGAGGGAGAGAGAGCGGAGCGTAGAGCTGGAAAGGAATGCCGAGAAACGGCAAACCCGGCGAAAACCCAAGAGGCGATAACGAGACTGTGAATCCGAAGACGATCCGGTGATAAAACAAAAAGTAAAAACCGGGGAGAGGCGATTTGGCGACGGGATGGCCGCGGTGAAGCGGGTGTTTTTCTCCAAGGGGTTCGGCGGATCGCTGGACGGACCGGGGCAACCGGAGCCCGCGGCCAGCGTGGAGCTCAAAGGAGTCGTACGCCGCAGAGAGAGCTGCCCATCAAACCTGAACACGGCAGCGGCGGCGGCGGTGGCGGTGGCAACGGATGAGGGCACCGGCGTCGGCAAGGATGATGTCCGTATCGCCGGCATTGCCGCCAAAAGCAGGAGGGCACGATCGTTCTTGTTTGGTGAGAAGTTTGGGTGGCGGTGGTGTACACGTGTGTGTGTGTTTGTATATGGGAGCGGGGAGCGGTAGTGTAGCGGTTAGCGCTACGCTGCGCTACGAACCCGGCGACCCGAGTTCGATTCCCGGTCACGACCCACACCGGTGGCGATTATCTGAACCGGTCCCGGGCCTCCCCTAGGTCGACTCAGCCTAAAATGAGTGCCTGGTGCGATGTGTAAACATCGCCGCTAGGGAGACAAAGGCGGCCGGGCGTGGTGCTGGCCACCCACCCCCTCGTGTGCCGTGCCGGCCTTCATAGGTGCTCGCTAACAGCACTTGCCCCTACAGTCTGTTAAGGCTATACGGGGGATCTTTGTCTTTGTATATGTGGGAGCAGTTAGGGGTTACGGTGCTGCGTAATGAAGCCGGTGACCTGAATTCGATTCCCGCTCGCGCCCAACACCGTTGACGAAATATCTGAACCAGTCCTGGGCCTCCCGTAGGTCGACCTGGCCTCAAATGAGTACCTCGTGCGGTCTGGCGTGGTGCTGGCCACCCACCCCCTCGTGTGCCGTGCCGGCCTTCATAGACGCTCGCTAACAGCACTTGCCCCTACAGTTTGTTCGGGCTATACGGGGGGAGAATCTGTATCTTTGTACATGGGGAACGGTGGTTATTGTAGCGGTAAGCGCGTTGCGCTACAAATCCAGGCGACCAGGGTTCAGAGGTCGCAAACGGGTTTTGATTCCTTACCCGTACCCGGCCGCACCAGGGTCGCAAATGGGTACCCGTACCCATACCCGGCCGGGTACAGGTAGCCGTATCCTACCCGTACCCTACCCTACCCGAAATGAGCGACAAACGGTGACTCACCAGTGACTCACGGCCTACCCGTACCCGGCGGGGGGGGGGGGGGTGCCCCCCACAACCACCCCCACCAGCGCCTTCAAACCAAAGCGGAAAGTATTTCATCTGACTCCGTGACGTTGAAGCACTAAGGGGCCTCGGGCAACCGCCCTCTCCCCTCGCCCCGCATCCCCCAAAGCGAGGGGCCCGGGGCTGGTCACCCCGATTCGCCCGGTGTGGGGTGGGGGGTGGGGGGAACGACTGCCCTGGTTCCCAGTCTTGCCGGTAAATCCCGGCTGCCCCCCCCCCGCTTAGTCACAACGCCCCTGGCGAGCCGGCTCGCCCCGGCACCTTGAGGAGGGTTCAGAGCCGGTGATGTCAACTCTGGTGGTGGGGAGGGGTCGGGGTTGGTGGTTGTGCCACCACCACCGTGGGGGTGAGGGGGGCTTACAGGCCGGAACATTGTTCGCCGGCCGCCGTTCTCCGTTGCGTGCGTCCACGCGGTCCCGCGGGGTTTTCTCGTGCGGATCGTAAAAAAAATCTCTCACAAGCCGGCTTTATTCTCGCCCGCGAATGTTACGTGGCGACATCAAACGACGCTCTCTCCCCCCCTCGCCCTCGCCCCGCCAGCCAGCCCCGTGGCAATGCAGCGGTGACGCTTGAGGGCTCGGGTTCGACTAACCGGGGTCGAGACGGGGTTTTTTCGTTTGATCGCACCTCCGATCAGCGCGGTTGGCTACGTACGGTGCGAAAGAAGTTCCAGACAGACACACAGAGACCCACAGATTAGTCCTGTTGGCTACGTACGGTGCAAAAGAAGTTCTACATACACACACAGACCCACAGATTAGTGCTGTTAGTTATGTATGGTGCAAAAAAGTTCAACACACACAGAGACCCACAGATTAGCGCTGTTAGTTATGTACGGTGCAAAAAAGTTCAACACACACAGAGACCCACAGATTAGCGCTGTTAGTTATGTACGGTGCAAAAAAGTTCAACACACACAGAGACCCACAGATTAGCGCTGTTAGTTATGTACGGTGCAAAAAAGTTCAACACACACAGAGACCCACAGATTAGTGCTGTTAGTTATGTACGGTGCAAAAAAGTTCTACACACACAGAGACCCACAGATTAGCGCTGTTAGTTATGTACGGTGCAAAAAAGTTCTACGCACACAGAGACCCACAGATTAGCGCTGTTAGTTATGTATGGTGCAAAAAAGTTCTACATACACACAGAGACCCACAGATTAGCGCTGTTAGTTATGTATGGTGCAAAAAAGTTCTACATACACACACAGAGACCCACAGATTAGCGCTGTTAGTTATGTATGGTGCAAAAAAGTTCTACATACACACACAGAGACCCACAGATTAGCGCTGTTAGTTATGTATGGTGTGAAAGAAGTTCTACATACATACGTACGTACAGACATGACGCAGTTGGTGGCTTAGGGCATCCGCTGTCACACGCACACTTAATATTTCTACATCTAAAATGTTTCATTAATTTCTTACTTTTCTAGGAAGTCATCCTGAGCTGTCGGGCTCTATTGCAGGAGGGGCCATGCCTCCACTTTTTAAATCCTTTATATTAAGTTCGCTTGCTTGCTTGCGCGCTTACGACCGTGCAAATCTTTCGGTCGTTTTTTAACCCACTTTTCGTGATCCAATCGAGCTGACCTTTTGCACACAGACTCGTTGTGCGTGACAATTAATTTTCGTGAAAATTTTTTTTGCAAAATTTTCCACTTTTTAGGAAAAAAAAAACATTTTCATATTTAATTTAAAATACCAATGTGATAAAAATGAAACTCTTACTCAAGAAAAACAGAAATGAATAATAAAATAAAACCGATGCCACGCATATAAAGGATTTATAGTGAAAAACTTTGTTTTTACGGGTTAATTTTTTCTAAATCAAACATGCAAGTGGAGAGGGTGGGTGTTGGGGCGGTGGCTGGCGAGATGTTCACCACCTCGCCCTGTATGCAGGAGGTGGAGGCCTTCATCCATCAGCGGATAGATCAGTGATGATGGTCACTGATGCATTGAGCCCTGTTTGACTTGGAGCACACGCAAAAAAAGCCCCCACCCCTCCCCCATTTTTTCTTTGCAGAAGGTCACCATCGGGTGACCTCATTCCCAGCGGTTTTGAGCGTTCAAAGGTCGTGCACGAATTTCCCCGTCTCGCCAGCCTGCCCGTCCCGGGGTTGTGTGTGCACACGGTAGTGGTGGAGTGGCCTTCATAGGTGCTCGCTAACAGCACTTGCCCCTGCAGTCTGTCAAGGCTATACGGGGGATCATTGTCTGTGTGTTAGGCGCTCGCTAACAGCACTTGCCCCTGCAGTCTGTCTAGGCTATACGGGGGATCTTTGTCTGTGTGTTAGGCGCTCGCTAACAGCACTTGCCCCTGCAGTCTGTTAAGGCTATACGGGGGATCTTTGTCTGTGTGTTAGGCGCGCTCGCTAACAGCACTTGCCCCTGCAGTCTGCTAAGGCTATACGGGGGATCTTTGTCTGTGTGTTAGGCGCGCTCGCTAACAGCACTTGCCCCTGCAGCCTGTCAAGGCTATACGGGGGATCTTTGTCTGTGTGTTAGGTGCTCGCTAACAGCACTTGCCCCTGCAGTCTGCTAAGGCTATACGGGGGATCTTTGTCTGTGTGTTAGGCGCTCGCTAACAGCACTTGCCCCAGCAGTCTGTCCAGGCTATACGGGGGATCTTTGTCTTTGGTGGAGTGGCGGTGCAGCGGTTAGCGCTACGAACCCGGCAAGCCGCTCGCGGCCAACACCGGCGACGAATATCTGAACCGGTCCTGGGCCTCCCCTAGGTCGACTCGGCCTCAAACGCGGTGTGTAAATATCGCCACGAAAGAGTGTACCGTTCCGGCCTTCATAGGTGCTACTCGCTAACAGCACTTGCCCCTACAGTCTGTTCAAGGCTATCCGGGGGATCTTTGTCTCTGTCTTCTTTGCTTTGTTGGGTCCTGGATGAGGAATCTGGATTCCGGCAGCAGCAGCAGCAAAAAAAAATATTCTGGAATTTCAGGTTTTTACAAGCTGCCAACCAGCCCAAAAAACGAGCCTTTATCTTGTGTGTGTGTGCGCACGCTTGCTTCCCCAGTGCAAGATAAACTTTACAATCCAGAGGTGGCAGCAGCCTAGCCACAGTGGTGACTATTAACAAAAAATAATTCAACTCTTATTAATTTTAACAGGTAAGGCCCCAATGAGCAACTTTTCAGCTACTCTCAGGTTTTTTGCGGTAAAGTCACGTAGGTAAAAAATAAAATTAGAAGTTAATAAAAGTAATAATGGAAATCAAATCAAATAATAAAAATCACGACGTTTCGGAGGCAACACAAGTCTCCGTCATCAGGTGGTTACCGTCACAGCTAAAATTACTGCATCAAGTAAAACTCAACGTTTAACCCACTCACGCCGGCTTGTGCCCGCCCTCACAGTCGGGCATATTTGCGGAATACACCACGCTGCCGTTGACCCTGCAGGCCATTGACCGAGCAACCCGACGTTCCTACCAGCTCCCTCCGCAGGAATGTGCTTTCTGCGTTGTTGTCGATGTATTTAAACGCGGCGCTGAGGACCGTAATCGTTCCACGGCATCTCGCCTTCCTTACCGGACGTTCGCACAATCCGGGGAGAACACGGCCACAGTCAGCGAATGAATGGGAACGCCTCACCCCGCTATGTCAACACCGTACCAGCCCGCGGGTCAATCAAGTTGCACATTACGCCAGACGTAAACCTGACTCCTCGGCTGCCACCCCTGGAACCGTGTCAACAAAAAATTAACCCGTAAAAACAAAGCTTATCACTATAAATCCTTTATATGCGTGGCGGCTAGAGTCTTCTCGTCCTCTGGCTTGAGATGGCTGCCACCTATGGGTCAGATGATTGCCTGCCACCATTAAGCAATTGGTAATTAAATATAATTTATTTTTTCCTAAAAAGTGTAACATTTTGGAAAAAAATTTTCACGAAAATTAATTGTCACGCACAACGAGTCTGTGTGCAAAATGTCAGCTCGATTGGATCACGGGGAGTGGGTTAAAAAACGACCGAAAAATTTGCACGGCCGTAAGCGCGCAAGCAAGCAAGTGAACTTAATATAAAGGATTTAAAAACGAGGATAACCTCGTGAATAACGAGAACCGGCATTGTCCGTTTATTTATTTCTCCATTTATATTCTCCACAAGGACGACGACCGGCGAATCGTTATTCTTGAGTCACGCGTTCAACTAAACTAAACTACTTTTTATTTTACCAGGAAAGGCCCCGCTGAGGTACGTAGCTGTTTTTGCGTAGCGACATGGCTATCACGAATGATAGCCGGACAAAGTGGGTCATCACATCGCGTGGAAACATATAGCAGCAGACAAATACTCTGAACGCGTCGATTCTAAATGTGGACGGGGAAAAACCGTAAGGACCCGGAGAAGAATCCACGCGACCACGGGGAAAGAGAGAGAGAGACACGCAAACTTAAAATATACAACAGCAGGTGTCAGGGTTGGGGTCGAACACTCGACCTCCTGTATATCAGGCGAGGTAGTTAACATCTCACCACAGAGAGAGAGAGACACGCAAACTCCAAATATACAGCAGCAGGTGTCAGGGTCGGGGTCGCACACTCGACCTCCTGTATACCAGGCGAGGTAGTTAACATCTCCTAGCCACCGTGATGATGTGAGAGAGAGACACGCAAACTCCAAATATACATTCTTTGGTTCTTTCGGTTAAGTCACGTCTAAAAATAAAATAATAAATTAAAATAATAGCGACGTTTCGAAATTAAGATCCAAATATACAGCAACAGGCGTCAGGGTCGGGATCGAACCCACGACCTCCTGTAGACCATGCTAGGTAGTTAACATCTCACCACCACGGCACCCACTAGAAGAGAAGGTGGTGGGGGGGTGTTTCTTGCGGATACAGATCATGACGGAAACGAGCAACGCGAGTAGGAAACACGGACCGAGTGTCACGAAGAGACTCGCAATAATACGTGACTTTACCGAAAGAACCAAGAAGATGAATCCCTGCAGTCACGAAAGCTTTAAATCGAAATAATGATGATGTCAAACTAACGGTGCCGCACAAGAGAGGGGACCACATAGAGCAGCTGGTTGACATCGTCCACACAGCGAGGCCGCCGCTACCAGCATTTGCCCAAACTCTGCGGCCCTCTGTATATTAAAAACCCTTTCACCGTTTGCGAGATGTTGCAAGTTTTTGGGGGGTGTGGGTGTTGTCCTGTTCACCGCCGAATCTCGGCGTAGCAGCGCAGTTGTTTTTTTAAGGACGTCGTTACTCGCCGCAGAGAACCGGACAGACGCGGCCACCGCCACTCTACAAGAGCCGGCGCCGAAACTGTGCCACGCACTCTCCTCTCTCGTTCGTACAGCTCTGTGGGAGACTCGGGTTAACTACCTCGCCCGGTGTACAGGAGGTCGTGGAAAATATGGGCTCCACGTGTTTCGTCTGCATAGGGATCGAGCGTTGCCCCCTCGCACGTGTGGGGTCTTCTCCGGGTGCTGCGGTTTCCATCCCACATCACGTGAACTCTCGTTAATTGGCCCGAAACACCTTCAAATATACAGAGGAGCGCACAGCTTGGGCACATTGTAAGTAGCGCCGGCTTGCCGCGGGGCTGATGACCTCCCGCTGCTCCGTGGTTCGCGGTGACGAGATGTTAACTACCTCGCCTGGTCTACAGGAGGTCGTGGGTTCGATCCTGACCCCGACGCCTGCTGCTGTATATTAGGAGTTTGCGTGTCTCTCTCTCTCCGTGGTGAGATGTTAACTATCTCACCTCGTGTACAGGAGGTCGTGGGTTCGATCCTGACCCTGACGCCTGCTGTATATGTGGAGTTTGCGTGTCTCTCTCTCTGTGGTGAGATGTTAACTACCTCGCTTGGTAAGCAGGAGGTCGTGGGTTCGATCCCGACCCTGACGCCTGCTGCTGTACATTTAGAGTCTGCGTGTCTCTCTCTCCGCGTGGTCGCGTGGATTTTTCTCCGGGTCCTCCAGTTTGTCCCTCCACATTTAGAAGCAACCGTTGCGCTTAAAGAGTATTTGCCGGCTAAAAATGTCCACGTGACGACGAGGATGATAAGCCACTTCGTTGAGCTATCATTTGTGGCCAGGTAATTTTTGAAAAACAGCTAAAATGTTCTGGATTTGAAGCTTTCGTGACTGCAAGGATTCATACTCTCAGGGTTTTTTCCGGTAAAGTCACGTAGGTATAAAATAAAATTAGAAGTTAATAAAAGTAATAATGGACATAAAATAAAATCACGACGTTTCGGAAGCAACACAAGTCTCCGTCATCAGGTGGGACCGTCACCCTTGCGTTGTGGCCGAAACGTCGTGAGAATTTTATTATGTTTTATTTTTATTATTTTATTATTTCCCTTCTACGTGACTTTACCGAAAGAACCAAGAAGATGAATCCCTGCAGTCACAAAAGCTTTAAATCGAAAAATAGAACATCTGGATTTTTTCTTTTTCATTCAGACGCTGTCTTCCCGACAGACCTGTTCTTCACCTGAGGACGGCTGCTTGCGTTGTGGCCGAAACGTCGATGACATTTATTTTATTATGTTTTATTTTTATTATTTTATTATTTCCCTTCTACGTGACTTTACCGAAAGAACCAAGAAGATGAATCCCTGCAGTCACGAAAGAAGCTTTAAATAGAAAAATAAAACATCTGGATTTTAACGGGTTCGAAAGTCCCCCTTAGGTTGGGCTGGAGAACATTTTTTTCTGCCAGAGGCCATTTGGATATTTGATAACATCATTCGGGGGCCATACAAAATTATCAACTTAAAAAATGAGCCTGTTGTTATATTTGGTCAAACATTTAAAGAACTCGCCCCTAATGCGATGGGCTGGAACCGCTTCTCTTTGGCGAGGCGTGCGATGTTTTATTGTTTTATATTATTATTATTTTATTATTTCCCTTTCACGTGACTTTACCGAAAGAACCAAGAAGAACATCCTCTTTGATTAATCTTCTTGGTTCTTTCGGTAAAGTCACGTAGAAGGAAAATAATAAAATAATAAAAATAAACATAATAAAATAATTCTCACGACGTTTCGGCCACAACGCAAGCAGCCGTGACTTTAGCGAAAGAACCAAGAAGATGAATCCCTGCAGTCACGAAATTTTTAAATCGAAATCCTCTTTGGTTCTTTCGGTAAAGTCAACAACTACAACAACAACGACGTTAAATCGCTTTCTCTCCGCAGCCTCCGGCAGTTCTTCGAGCGCTGCTTCCACCGGAGCGGCGACTCCCAGACGGAGTCTTCGACGCCCCCCGCGGAGTCCCGGACGTGACGACGGCACAGCGGCAGCGGCGAGCGCAACAGCCGCAGCCGCTGGGGCTACAGAACCAGCAGCAGCGGCGGCGACGAGGAGAACAACGAGGTGGTGGACGATGAACGCGATGATGGCGGCGATGGCGGTGCCCGTGGGCGTTGACCCCAGCGTCAAGCCCGGGGAGTTTGTGCTCAAGAGTCTCTTTGCCGAGTTCACGCAGCATGCCGAGCGCAAGATCAGTATCATCATGGCCGAACCCATGGTGAGCGACCCTCAGGATATCCCCTGACCACTCGCCAGTGAGACCGAGGTCGCACACGGGTTTTGATTCCTTACCCCCCGTACCCGTACCCGGCCGCACCAGGGTCGCAAACGGGTACCCGTACCCGGCCGTACCCGTATCCTACCCATACCCGGCCGGGTATCGGGTACCTGATTGCGACCTCTGGGATGAAGCCATGTTGCAGGCGCGGGAGGGTTGATTCTAGGAACTTGAATTGTGAGAAGAGACAAGACGTTGGGAAATGAGTGACAAACGGTGACTCACCAGTGACTCATGGCTTACCCGTACCCGTACCCGGCCGCACCAGGGTCGCAAACGGGTACCCGTACCCGTGCCCGGCCGGGTATGGGTACCCGTACGCTACCCGTACCCTACCTGAAATGAGTGACAAACGGTTACTCACCGGTGACTCACGGCCTACCCGTACCTGTACCTGGCCGCACCAGGGTCGCAAACGGCTACCCGTACCCGGCCATCGGGTAGGGTACGGGTATCGGGTACCCGGTTGCGACCTCCGCTGTGAGATGGATATCTCGAACTATAATGTGGGACGTGCACCATCGTATCCATGGACGTCTCTGTCTCTCTCTGTCTCTCTCTGTCTCTCTCTGGCTCTGTCCATCTCGCTATCTCCTTGTCACTGATTCCACGATGCAACACGATTCTCGTTCTCTGGGTAGTGTTATTTTTAAATTGATTATTCCTAAATTTCGATTTAAAGCTTTGGTGACTGCAGGGATTCATCTTCTTGGTTCTTTCGGTAAAGTCACGTAGAAGGAGAATAATAAAATAATAAAAATAAAACATGATAAAATAATTATTTAGAAGGGAAATAATAAAATAATAAAAATAAAAATTATCAAATATTTCTCACGACGTTTCGGCCACAACGCAAGCAGCCGTCCTCAGGTGAAGACCAGGTCTGTCGGAAAGACAGCGTCTGAATGAATGAAAAATATTAAATAAATGGGTTCATTCAGACGCTGTCTTCCCGACAGACCTGTTCTTCACCTGAGGACGGCTGCTTGCGTTGTGGCCGAAACGTCGTGAGAATTGTATTTTATTATGTTTTATTTTTATTATTTTATTACTTCCCTTCTACGTGACTTTACCGAAAGAACCAAGAAGAATGAGCCTTTGTATCCCTTCAGCTGTCTCCGTGCCACCGCCTACTGAGATATATCTCCATGTCCTAGAATTTGAAGCTTTCGTGACTGCAAGGATTCATATTCTTAGGTTTTTTCGGTAAAGTCACGTAGGTAAAACATTAAAATTAATAAAAGTAAAATAAAATAAAAATCACGACGTTTCGGAGGCAACACAAGCTTCCGTCTTCAGGTGGTACCGTCACAGCCACGACAGCTGTATCAAGTGAATGAGAGATTGCAGGAGCTACCACTCCGTTTATATAAACGCAATCTCTCATTTACTTGATACAGCTGTCGTGGCTGTGACGGTTCCACCTGAAGACGGAAGCTTGTGTTGCCTCCGAAACGTCGTGATTTTTATTTTATTTTACTTTTATTAATTGTAATGTTTTACCTACGTGACTTTACCGAAAAAACCTAAGAATATGTCTCCATGTCACCGCCTATGAGATATTTCTCTCGAGATGGATATCTTGAGATGGATATCTCTCTCTCTGTGTCGCTCTGACTGTGATCAGCGTCATCATGGCCGAGTACAATGGTGTGTGCGTGTGTTGAACTTCTTTCGTACCGTACCTAGCCAGCTGGGCTAATTGAATGTGCCGGGGGGGGGGAAACAAACTGTGCGTCTCTGTGAGTCTGTGGGTCTCTGAGTCTATGGGTTTCTGTGTGAGTCTGTGTGAGTTTATAGGTCTCTGTGTGAGTCTATGGGTTTCTGTGTGAGTCTATGAGTTTTTGTGTGAGTCTATGGGTTTCTGTGTGAGTCTGTGGGTCTCTGTGTGAGTCTGTGGGTCTCTGTGTGAGTCTGTGGGTCTCTGTGTGAGTCTGTGGGTCTCTGTGTGAGTCTGTGGGTCTCTGTGTGGGTCTGTGGGTTTCTGTGTGAATCTGTGGGTCTCTGTGTGAGTCTATGGGTCTCTGTGTGAGTCTGTGGGTCTCTGTGTGAGTCTGTGGGTCTTTGTGTGAGTCTGTGGGTCTCTGTGTGAGTCTGTGGGTCTCTGTGTGAGTCTGTGGGTCTCTGTGTGAGTCTGTGGGTTTCTGTGTGAGTCTGTGGGTCTCTGTGTGAGTCTGTGGGTCTCTGTGTGAGTCTGTGGGTCTCTATGTGAGTCTATGGGTTTCTGTGAGTCTGTGGGTCTCTGTGTGAGTCTATGGGTCTCTGTGTGAGTCTGTGGGTCTCTGTGTGAGTCTGTGGGTCTCTGTGTGAGTCTATGGGTTTCTGTGAGTCTGTGGGTCTCTGTGTGAGTCTATGGGTCTCTGTGTGAGTCTGTGGGTCTCTGTGTGAGTCTGTGGGTCTTTGTGTGAGTCTGTGGGTCTCTGTGTGAGTCTGTGGGTCTCTGTGTGAGTCTGTGGGTCTCTGTGTGAGTCTATGGGTCTCTGTGTGAGTCTGTGGGTTTCTGTGTGAGTCTGTGGGTCTCTGTGTGAGTCTGTGGGTTTTTGTGTGAGTTTATAGGTCTCTGTGTGAGTCTATGGGTGTATGTGTGAGTCTGTGGGTCTCTGTGTGAGTCTGTGGGTCTCTGTGTGAGTCTGTGGGTCTCTGTGTGAGTCTCTGGGTCTCTGTGTGAGTTTGTAGGTCTCTGCGTGAGTCTATGGGTTTCTGTGTGAGTCTATGGGTCTCTGTGTGAGTCTGTGGGTCTCTGTGTGAGTCTGTGGGTCTCTGTGAGTCTGTGGGTCTCTGTGTGAGTCTATGGGTCTTTTTGTGGGTCTATGGGTCTCTCTGTGAGTCTATGGGTCTCTGTGTGAGTCTATGGGTCTTCACGGGAGACTATGTATGTATGTAGCCAACCATCCTAATTTGTGGGTCTCTGTGGGTGTCTGTGTGTCCCTATGTATGTACACACATTGAACCTCTTTCGCACCGTACGTCGCTAACCGTGCTTTGGCCGAAACATCACCCCCCCCGTGTTCCGGTAAAATGTCGCTCGATGTGTAAACCGCTAGCAGCTGAGACATGCGTTGGATCAAAGCGCGCGGGGCAGGGTATGATCTGTAATCTGGCAACGTGGTTGTGCCTTACCTCGCTGTCTGTTATCCCCGTGCAGGAGAGGCTGCTGTCGAAGTCGCTGCAGAGAGGAGAAGACCTACAGTTCGATCAGGTTGGTGTCCGTCATCTTAACGCAGCTTCGGCGTCGTCGTCATCGTCAGCAGCATCGTCATCATCGTCAGCAGCATCGGTGTCATCGGCATTGGTTTCATCGGCATCAGCAACGGCAGCATTATCAGCAGTGTCATCATCAGCAGCGTCGGCATCAGCAGCGTCATCATCAGCAACGCCATGACCAGCAGCGTCATGATTAGCAAAGTCATCATTGGCAGCGTCATCATCACCAGCGTCATCATCTTCATCATCGTCAACAGCATCGGTGTCATCGGCATTGATTTCATCGTCATCAGCAACGGCAGCATCATCAGCAGCATCATCATCAGCAGTGTCGTCATTATCAGCAGCGTCATAATCAGCAGCGTCATAATCAGCAGCGTCATCATCAGCAGCGCCATCATCAGCAGCAGCGTCATCATCATCAGCAGCGTCATCATCATCAGCAGCATCATCATCAGCAGCGTCATCAGCATGGGCAGCAGCCCCAGCGTCGTCAGCAGCAGCGTCATCATCATCAGCAGCGTCATCATCAGCAGCATCATCATCACCAGCGTCATCATCAGCAGCGTCATCATCACCAGTGTCATCATCAACAGCGTCATCATCAGCAGCATCATCAGCAGCGTCATCAGCATGGGCAGCAGCGCCAGCGTCATCATCAGCAGCGTCATCATCATCAGCAGCGTCATCAGCAGCATCATCATCATCAGCAGCGTCGTCATCTGCAGTGTCATCAGCAGCGTCATCATCATCAGTGTCATCATCATCAGCACCGCCATCACCAGCAGCGTCATCAGCAGCGTCATCATCATCAGCAGCGTCATCATCAGCACCGCCATCATCATCAGCACCGCCATCACCAGCAGCGTCGCCATCACCAGCAGTGCTGTCATCAGCAGCGTCATCATCAGCAGCATCATCAGCAGCGTCATCAGCAGCAGCAGCATCATCAGCATGAGCAGCAGCAGGATCAAAGGCTACACATTGGGTTGCCTCCTTGTTCTCTTCGTCCATGCGTGTTGCGTGTGTCTGTGTGTTCGTGTCTGTGTGTGTGCCAGCGTGCTTTTCCGGCCTTCATAGGTGCTACTCGCTAACAGCACTTGCCTCAGCAGTCCGTTAAGGCGGCACGGGGGATCTTTGTCTTTGTGTCCCGTTATTGTTGTGGGGGAGCGGTGGTGCAGCCGTCAGCGCGCCGTGTTACGAACCCGGCGACCCGAGTTCGATTCCCGCTCAAGGCCACCAACAGTGACGATCATCTTCTTGGTTCTTTCGGTAAAGCCATCACGTAAAAGGGAAATAATAAAATAATAAAAATAAAACATAATAAAATACAATTCTCACGACGTTTCGGCCACAACGCAAGCGGCCGTCCTCAGGTGAAGAACAGGTCTGTCGGAAAGACAGCGTCTGAATGAAACACCACCAGGCTTGGAGCGTATATTTAAGCTGCTGGGTTGGAGGGGGAAGAGCGCCTTGACAAAATAATTTGCATATTAAGAGGAATTTAGCATATTTATGGGAAATGCAGATATGGGATTAGTCACTACTTGTTGTAGCGATCTTCTTGTTTCTTTCGGTAAAGTCACGTAGAAGGGAAGTATTATGTTTTATTTTTATTTTTATTATTTTATTACTTCCCTTCTACGTGACTTTACCGAAAGAAACAAGAAGATGAATCCCTGCAGTCACGAAAGCTTTAAATCGAAAAATTGGTGTAGCGATGTTGAACTTGTTTAGCATCGTACGTAGCCAACCTTGCCACAGAGGGCGCAAACGGGTTTTGATTCCTTACTCGTACCCGTACCCGGCCGCACCAGGGTCGCAAACGGGTACCCGGCCGGGTACGGGTAGCCGGGTATCGGGTAAGGTGCAGGTATCGGGTAGGGTACGGGTATCGGGTAGGGTACGGGTTTCGGGTCGGGTACGGGAATCGGGTAGGGTATGGGTATTGGGTAGGGTATGGGTATCGGGTAGGATACATGTATCGGGTAGGGTACGGGTATCGGGTATGGGTATTGGGTAGGGTACGGGTAGGGTACGGGTATCGGGTAGGGTACGGGTATCGGGTAGGGTACGGGTATTGGGTAGGGTACGGGTATCGGGTAGGGTACGGGTATTGGGTAGGGTACGGGTAGCCGGGTATCGGGTAGGGTACGGGTATCGGGTAGGGTACGGGTATCGGGTAGGGTACGGGTAGCCGGGTATCGGGTAGGGTACGGGTATCGGGTAGGGTACGGGTATCAGGTACCCGGTTGCGACCTCTGCCGTGCCACCATGAGCCTGCTAAGACTTCACGGAGGAATCATTGTCTACATCTTTGTTGTAGCGATGTTGAACTTTTCTAGCACCGTACGTAGCCAAGCGTGCCACCATGAGCCTGCTAAGGCTACACGGGGGACTGGGGGCGCCTCTTTGTCTCTTGTTCTCAGCTGCTGAGCGCCATGAGCGCCGTCGCCGAGTACTGCCTGCCCTCCCTGCTGCGCACGCTCATCGACTGGTTCAAGCGGCAGAACGGCGTGGACGACGAGTCTCACGAGTACCGCCCACGCTCCAGCACCAAGTCCAAAGGGTGGGGACGAGCGCACACACACACGCACGCACACACGCACACACACACGCACGCACACACGCACACACACACACACACGCACGCACGCGCACACGCACGCACGCACAGACACGGATTGACACACGCACACACACACACTGACGGACACGCGCATGCACACACACACACACGTACGCACAGACACGGATGGACACACGCACAAAAAACACGGACGGACACGTGCATGCACACGCACACACACACACACACGTACGGGTGGCCACACGTACGCACAGACACGGATGGACGCACGCACACACACACACGGACGGACACGCGCATGCACACACACACACGGACAGACGCACACACACGGATGGACACACGCACGCACACACAGACAGACACACGCAGACACACAGACACACACGCAGACACACAGACAAACACACGCACAGCATTGACACACAGATACACACAGACACATATAAACACACGCACAGACACATACGCACAGACAACAACCGCCATTCGCCACTAAGTGGCGGTGACGTCACCACGACGCTTGTGCCAGGCCATGTGCACCTTGAGGCTGTCACGTGAAGTGTCGAACGCCCGCTGGCAGGAGGTCACGGGTCAGACCCAGCAGGTGCCACGGGTCGACTGACTGAGATGACCGAGACGACTGGCTGATGCACCACCTGTGCCCCCTACTGTGCACACACACACACGCACACACGCAACAACAACAACCGCCATTCGCCACTAAGTGGCGGTGACGTAACCACGACGCTTGTGCCAGGCCATGCGCACACACACAACATTCTGTTAAAGGCTATACGGGGGATCTTTGTCTTAGTGTGCGAAAGTTGGTGCATCTGAAAGTCATCGCAGTCAGTCCACCCATGACACCCGGTGGTCTGTCCTGTGACCCCCTGGATAAGGCGTTGTCATCATGAACTTCGTACACGAAGATGAAGATCCACTCGTGTGTAGCCTTAACGGACTGATTGGGCAAGTGCCCTTTCAGCAACTGTGCAGGCCGGCATGGCACACGAGGGGTTGGGTGGCCAGCACCACACCTGGCCGCCTTTGTCATTTTAATGAGGCTGAGTCGACCTAGGGGAGGCCCAGGACCGGTTCAGATAATCGTCACTGGTGTTGGCCATGAGCGGGAATCGAACTCGGGTCGCCAGGTTCGTGGTGCAGCGCGTTAACCGCTACGCTACCGCTCCCCTACAAAGACACAGATCCCCCGTATAGCCTTAACAGACTGTAGGGGCAAGTGCTGTTAGCGAGCACCTATGAAGGCCGGAACGGCACACGAGGGGGTGGGTGGCCAGCACCACGCCCGACCGCCTTTGTCTCCCCAGTGGCGATGTTTACACACCGCACCAGGTACTCATTTTAGGCTGAGTCGACCTAGGGGAGGCCCGGGACCGGTTCAGATAATCGTCACCGGTGTTGGCCGTGAGCGGGAATCGAACCTGTGTCGCCGGGTTCATAACGCAGCGCGCTAACCGCTACACCACCGCTCCCCACTCAACAGCAAACAACAACAAAGATCCCCCATATAGCCTTAACAGGCTGTAGGGGCAAGTGCTGTTAGCGAGCACCTATGAAGGCCGCAACGGTACACGAGGGGGTGGGTGGGTGGCCAGCACCACCCCCCCTCCCCCCCCACGGTCTCATCTCCGCCGTTGGCGTTTTGTTGTTTCTGGTGTTCAGGGACGAGCAGCACCGTGACAGAGACTTCCTGTTCGAGCGGAGAGACCTGGCCATCGACTTCATCTTCTGCCTCGCCCTCATCGAGGTCCTCAAGCAGGTGAGACGCTCGGCGCGCGGGAGCTCCAAGGGGCATCGGTGGAGCTCCGTGGAGGAGCTCGGTGGAGCTCGGGGGTCGAGCTTTGTGGTGGAGCTCGGTGGTGGAGCTCGGTGGTGGAGCTCAGTGGTGGAGCAGCTCGGTGGAGCTTGGGGAAACTCGGTTGTGGAGTTTGGGATAGCTCGGTGGAGCTTGATGGAGCTCAGTGGTGGAGCTCAGTTGTGGAGCTTTGTGGAGCTCAGTGGTGGAGCTTGGTGGAGCTCAGTGGTGGAGCTTGGTGGAGCTCAGTGGTGGAGCTTGGTGGAGCTCAGTGGTGGAGCTTGATGGAGCTCAGTGGTGGAGCTCAGTGGTGGAGCTCCGTGGTGGAGCTCCGTGGTGGAGCTCAGTGGTGGAGCTCAGTGGTGGAGCTTGGTGGAAGCTCGGTTGTGGAGCTCGGGGAAGCTCGGTGGAGCTTGATGGAGCTCAGTGGTGGAGCTTGGTGGAGCTCAGTGGTGGAGCTCAGTGGTGGAGCTCAGTGGTGGAGCTCAGTGGTGGAGCTCAGTGGTGGAGCTTGATGGAGCTCAGTGGTGGAGTTCAGTGGTGGAGCTTGGTGGTGGAGCTTTGGATAGCTCGGTGGAGCTTGATGGAGCTCAGTGGTGGAGCTCCATGGAGCAGCTCGGAGGAGGAGTTTGGTGGAACTCGGGGTGGCAAGCACCACCCACAGCCTCCGCCATTCTCCCCGTAGGCGATGTTTACGCACCGCACCGCGGTTACCCATTTGAGGCTGAGTCGACCTTTGTCGAGGCCTGGGACCGGCTCCGAGATTATCGTCGCTGCTGGTGTGTCGGCGGCGGTGACCGTGAGCGGGGAATCGAATCCGGGTCGCCGGGTTTTGCCGCGCGGCGCGCACTAACCGCTGCACCGCCACTCCCCGCGCACGCTTTGAATTTTTTAGCGATTCGCTGAGCTTAGTCTGATCGTTAATCTCGGGCCGTCTGCTGTCGTGCGTGTGTGTGTGTCCGTCAAATGGTTGTCTGGCTCCCGTCCAACGACTCGGAGTGGTTTTTAGCCGTTGCGGCATTCCCTGATATAAAATAACAAAGAAATTATTTCAGCAGAACCCCCTCTCAACCGTCCACCCCTGTTAACGGCTAATGACCCCACAGACTCACACAGACAACAACAAGCGCCATTCGCCACTAAGTGGCGGTGACGTCACCACGACGCTTGTGCCAGGGCCATGTGCACCTTGAGGCCACGTGAAGTGTCGAACGCCCGCTGGCAGGAGGTCAAGGGTCAGACCCAGGTGCCACGGGTCGACTGACTAAGATGACCGAGATGACACACACACATACACAACAACAACAACCGCCATTCACCACTAAGTGGCGGTGACGTCACCACAACGCTTGTGCCAGGCCATGTGCACCTTGAGGCCACGTGAAGTGTCGAACGCCCGCTGGCAGGAGGTCACGGGGCAGACCCAGCAGGTGCCACGGGTCGACTGACTGAGATGACTGACTGATGCACCACCTGTGCCCCCTACTGTGCCAACTTGCTGTACTTTAGCCACCCGGCGCTCCCATAGACTCACACGCAGGTGACTCATAGACTCACACAGAGACCAGGTTCTCTGTACGAGTCTTGAGTCTCTGTTTGCACATCTCTGTGTGTCTATGGCTCTCGGTGTATGCCCCAATGTGTCTCTGTGTAGGTCTGTGGCTCTGTGTATGAGTCCGTGGGGTCTACGGGTCTCCGCGTGAGTCTGTGGCTCTCCGCGTGAGTGTGTGCCACTTGGCGCGAGCCTATGTGTCTCTAGTATAACCTTTGCATCTTCTGTGCGGAGGTCTGTGGGCTGCTGTACGATTACGGACCTCCCTGTGAGCTCAAGGCCAGACGGTGGGAGACTTTCGATTTGAAGCTTTCGTGACTGCAGTGATTCATCTTCTTGGTTCTTTCGGTAAAGTCACGTAGAAGGGAAATAATACAAATAAAAATAAAACATAATAAAATAATTCTCACGACGTTTCGGCCACAACGCAAGCAGCCGTCCTCAGGTGAAGAACAGGTCTGTCGGGAAGACAGCGTCTGAATGAACCCATTTATTTAATATTTTTCATTCATTCAGACGCTGTCTTTCTGACAGACCTGTTCTTCACCTGAGGACGGCTGCTTGCGTTGTGGCCGAAACGTCGTGAGAATTGTATTTTATTATGTTTTATTTTTATTATTTTATTATTTCCCTTCTACGTGACTTTACCGAAAGAACCAAGAAGGTGTCAGGGGCAGATCTTGGTGCTCACTGCGCATGTCTCCTGTGCAGCAGCTGTAGGATCTGGTGGTGAGTAGAGATCTTTGACCGATGAGGTGGTGGCGGTGGTGATGGCGGTGGTGGCATCGTGGTGTCTTGATTTTACAGATTCCAGTGCATCCCGTGCCGGACTCAATGGTGCATGAAGTTGTCAACTTGGCTTTCAAGCACTTCAAGTACCGGGAAGGGTGAGTATTCGAACCTCTTTCCCGTGGGCAGGGTGGGTGGATGGGTTTGCCGTTCGCCACCGAATCTCGGAAACGCACCAACCCAAGCCCCACCCACCATCCAAACCCACCCACTTCAAATGCATTTTTGGGGCAGTGCGAAGTTCTATTCTCCGTGGGTGAGTGTTGTCCTGCAATCACACAAGTGGCGTGTGCGTGTGTAAGCGCGTGTGTGTCTCTCCCCTTGCCAGGTATTCGGGTCCCAACATCGGCAACATGCACATCATCGCTGACCTGTATGCAGAGGTCATCGGAGTGCTGGCACAGTCCAAGTGAGTGACCATCGCCCCATTCGCCTGTCATCATCATCATCATTGTCAAGTTTCAAGTTCATTTCTTTCTGGGCTCCGCATGTTTCGTTTCTGCGTGGGATAGAGCGTTGCTCCCTCGCACGTGCGGGTTTTCTCCTGGTGCTCCGGTTTCCTCCCTCGTGCGAACTCATTCATTGGCCGAAAACACCTTCATATACAGAGGACCGCAGAGCTTGGACACATTGTTAGTAGCGCCGGCTTGCTGCGTGGCTGATGCCTTCCCGCTGGTCTGTGGTTCTCCGTGGCGAGATGTTACAGTGAGGATGGGTATTCCAGCATGACAATGACCCAAAACACACGGCCAAGGCAACAAAGGAGTGGATCAAAAAGAAGCACATTAAGGTCCTGGAGTGGCCTAGCCAGTCTCCAGACCTTAATCCCATAGAAAATCTGTGGAGGGAGCTGAAGGTTCGAGTTGCCAAACGTCAGCCTCGAACCCTTAATGACTTGGAGAAGATCTGCAAAGAGGAGTGGGACAAAATCCCTCCTGAGATGTGTGCAAACCTGGTGGCCAACTACAAGAAACGTCTGACCTCTGTGATTGCCAACAAGGGTTTTGCCACCAAGTACTAAGTCATGTTTTGCAGAGGGGTCAAATACTTATTTCCCTCATTAAAATGCAAATCAATTTATAACATTTTTGGCATGCGTTTTTCTGGATTTTGTTGTTGTTATTCTGTCTCTCACTGTTCAACTAAACCTACCATTAAAATTATAGACTGATCATTCCTTTGTCAGTGGGCAAACGTACAAAATCAGCAGGGCATCAAATACTTTTTTCCCTCACTGTAACTACCTCGCACTGGGAATACAGGAGGTCGTGGGTTCCAACCCGACCATGACGCCTGCTGCTGTATATTTGGAGTTTGCGTGTCTCTCTCCCCGTGGTAGCGTGGATTTTTCTCTGGGTCCTCCGGTTTTTCACCTCCACATTTAGAACCGACGTCACGCGTTTAAGAGTATTTGCCCGCTGCTACAAATCCCCACACGATGATGATGATGATCATATGCCACTTCGTTGAGCTATCGTTTGTGGCCAGGTCGTCGCTTCTGAAAAAAATCTACGTAGCTCAGTGGGCCTTAGCTGGTGAAATAAAAAATAGTTTAGTTTAGCTTCCGGCTCCATGCGCCTCTGAGTTGTTCTCTCCCTTTGAGAACTAGCAACTTCTGTGTGGCACATCAGTTGAGATCATCATCATTATTCTTCTTGGTTCTTTCGGTAAACTCACGTAGAAGGGAAGTAATAAACAACGCGTTGTGGCCGAAACGTCGTGAGAATTATTTTATTATGTTTTATTTTTATTATTTTATTATTTCCCTTCTACGTGATGACTTTACCGAAAGAACCAAGAAGATGAATCCCTGCAGTCACGAAAGCTTTAAAGCGAAATCATCATTATTGTTATTGCGAGTGTCCCCGTGACGTGTATCTTATCAACGTCCGGGCCGTGTTTTCAACTCGTGTTGTTCGTTCCGCCAGATTTTTATCCGCAAGGTGCTCCCACACCCCCCCACCCCCCACACCCCCCACACCCCCCACCCCAACTTCTTCCAGATATGCGTCAACGGCCCGATGGCAAAAGTGCGACTCAAAAACGCGCCGCTCAAAATGATCACTTGCGTCTCGCCGCCCTTGCGGAGAATCGAAGTGACGAAAGAATTAAACGGACACAAGACCGCTTCCTCTAGTTTTCACGAGGTTCTGCTCGTGTTTTTTGTTGACGCGGTGTTGGGTTTGGTAGCGGCGGGCCAAGTCACGTTCACGTCAGTCAGAATATTTACTCATCCAGTTGTATATCTTATCAACGGTCTGGCCCGTTTCCTACTCGCGTTTGCTGGTTTCAAGTTTCAAGATTCATTTCAAGTTTCATTTATTAGGTATAGACCTCTTCTTCTTGGTTCTTTCGGTAAAGTCACGTAGAATGGAAATAATAAAATAATAAAAGCAAACATAATCTAATAATTATTTTATTATGTTTTCTAAATAAAGCATAATAAAATAATTATTTTATAATGCTTTATTTTTTTATTTTTTTATTTCCATTCTACGTGACTTTACCGAAAGAACCAAGAAGATGAATCCCTGCAGTCACGAAAGCTTTAAATCAAAAAAAGGTATAGCCCTGTGAGCCATTCGGCTCTTGAATCGGGTGCAACCGCAACAAACAAAAAAACAAAAACATGACCAAGAAAACATCTTAAAGTGACTAAGTGACTGAGTGCAAACAGAAAATCCAAGAAAAGACAGCAAATTATTGCAGAAAAAGCACCGTACACCAACACTGTGTGCAAAAATCTCCGTGGAATGCAAGTCAACCCCCGGTTGCTCCACCCCCCCACCATCCCCCCACCACCCCCCCACCGAACCCACCCACCCCCAACCTTGCACCCGCAGGTTCCACACGGTACGCAAGAAGTTCGTGACGGAGCTGAAAGAGCTGCGCCAAAAGGAGCCTACCCCACAGGTGTCGCAGTGCATCATCAGCCTCATCATGGGCATCAAGTTCTTCCGCGTCAAGATGTACCCCGTGGAGGAATTCGAGGCCTCATTCCAGTTTCTGCAGGCACGTGTGTGCGTGTGTGTGCGTGTGTGTGTGCGTGCGTGTGTGTGCGTGCGTGTGTGTGCGTGTGTGCGTGTGTGTGCGTGCGCGCGTGTGCGTGCGTGCGTGTGCGTGCGTGCGTGTGCGTGCGTGTGTGTGCGTGTGTGTGTGCGTGCGCGCGCGCGTATGCGTGTGTGTGCGTGCGTGTGCGTGCGTGTGTGTGCGTGTGCGTGTGTGTGTGCTTGTGTGTGCTTGTGTGTGCGTGTGTGTGTGCGTGTGTGCGTGTGTGTGTGCGTGTGTGCGTGTGTGTGTGTGTGTGCGTGTGTGTGTGTGTGTGCGTGCGTGTGCGCGCGTGCGTGCGTGTGCGTGCGCACGCGCGTATGCGTGCGGAGCGGCAGTGTAGCGTGAAACCACAACATTTACAATTTGTAAATGTTGTGGTTTCACGCTTCAACACACGAGGTTCTGCTAAAGCGTTAAAACCAAAGTGCACCTAGCCCGGCGCAAGCGTGCGACCTGCCTGTGTGCGTGCGTGTGTGTGCGGCGCCGATGCAGGAGTGCGCTCAGTACTTCCTGGAGGTCAAAGACAAGGACATCAAGCACGCCTTGGCCGGCATCTTCGTGGAGATCCTGGTGCCGGTGGCCGCTGTGAGTGTGCTGCTGCTGCTCACCGCAGCGAGACACGCGAACCGCACGACACGGCAGAGAGGGGGTATATGGCACCCGCCGCGTGGCCTGGCGTCAGTGACTCGGCACATGGTCTGCGACGGGGCATCAGTCTGCCAGTAGGGGGGTGATGTTTGCTGTGTTGCCTAGCCAGGGGGCACCCCCAGCGGCAGCCGTCCCCGTGTGACGCACGGTGACTCGGCACGCGACCTGCGATGGGGCATTATTCTCGGTGGCGAGATGTTAACTACCTCGCCTGGTATACAGGAGGTCGTGGGTTCCATCACGACCCTGACACCTGTTGTATATTTTGAGTTTCATGTGAAACCGTTTATTTAATATTTTTCATTCGTTCAGACGCTGTCTTTCCGACAGACCTGTTCTTTACCTGAGGACGGCTGCTTGCGTTGTGGCCGAAACGTCGTGAGAATTGTATTTTATTATGTTTTATTGTTATTATTGTATTATTTCCCTTCTACGTGGTGACTTTACCGAAAGAACCAAGAAGATGAATCCCTGCAGTCACGAAAGCTTTAAATCGAAATCTACTAAAGCAAGTTTCTTATGCCGTTCGTCGCGCCCGGATGCAATTGACTTTGCTCATTCGCCGTATACCCGCCGAGGTCGTGACGGGGTTCTCAAAATTAACGCTCACTCACTCCTTGTTCTCCCCCTCCTCCCACTCCCCCCCCGCACACCTCTAGGAATCACAGCCTTTAACTTCTAGCCCTGCCCACTTGCCTCCTCCTCTACCGCCCTCTCTGCCTTATACAGCCTTCCTAACTCCGGCATTTCTCCCACTTCAGTAAAAAAAAAAAAAATTCTGCTGTGGTTGTCACACCTGATGATGATTGCTTGTGTTGCAATCGAAACGTGGTGATTTAATTAACTTTAATTTATGCTTATTTGATTTTTCACCCGCGTGACTTTACCGAAAGAACCAAAGAGTGTGGATCCTTGCAGTCACGAAAACTTCAAATCTAGAATTCTTAAAATTAATTAATTCCTGTTGCTCCGTGCCCCCACCTCACCCCCACCCCCTCCCCCCCCCGTACCGTTCCCGCTCTGCTGTCACGTGCGTCGATGCCCACTTTTTTTTTTTTCTTCTTGGTTCTTTCGGTAAAGTCACGTAGAATGGAAATGATAAAAATTTAACATAATAAAATAATTCTCACAATAATTCTCACGACGTTTCGGTCACAACGCAAGCAGCCGTCCTCAAAGACGGCTGCTTGCGTTGTGGCCGAAACGTCGTGAGAATTATTTTATTATGTTTTATTTTTATTATTTTATTATTTCCCTTCTACGTGACTTTACCGAAAGAACCAAGAAGATGAATCCCTGCAGTCACGAAAGCTTGAAATCGAAAGATGCCCACTTTATTGAGAACGAAATCAACTTTTATCGATTGATTTATCGATCCGGGGGGCGGTGGCTGGGGTGGGTGTGTAACCGTTCGCAGGCCGTGAAAAACGAGGTGAACGTGCCGTGCCTGAAGAACTTTGTCGACGTGCTGTACCAGACGACGTTCGACATGTCCTCGCGCAAGAAGCACTCGCTGGTGAGTCTCGCGGCCAGCGGATGAGCCGGGTTGTGGGGGTAGAGTAAAAATTTAAAACAAAAAAAATCATATATAAAATAATAATAATCATATTTGTATTTTTTTTTTAAATTGTTACGAGGCAAAGATAAGGAAGGGAGAAAGCGGCTGATCTGAAAAGATTGGTTGATGTGTGTCTGTGGGCTGCGGCGGTGATGAGATGTTAACTACCTCGCCCGGTATGCGGGAGGTCGTGGGTTCGATCCCGACCCTGACGCCTGCTGCTGTATATTTGGAGTTTGCGTGTCTCTCTCTCTCATCATCATCATCACGGTGGCTAGGAGATGTTAACAACCTCGCCTGGTCTACAGGAGGTCATGGGTTCGATTCCGACCCTGACGTCTGTGATATATTTGGAGTTTGCGTGTCTCTCTCTCATCATCACGGTGGCTAGGAGATGTTAACTACCTCGCCTGGTCTACAGGAGGTCGTGGGTTCGATTCCGACCCTGACGCCTGCTGTAGATTTGGAGTTTGCGTGTCTCTCTCTCTCTCCCCGTGGTCGCGTGACTTTTTCTCTGGGTCCTCCAGGTTTTTTGCCCTCCACATTTAGAATCAACATGCATTTAGACTATGCGCCCTGCTATAAATTTCAATGTGACAATTGACTTGCTTGAGCTGTCTATTGTGATGGCCAGTTCGCTTCTGGTAAAATAAAAAATTGTCTAATAGGCGCTTGCTAACAACAGCACCGTGTGTATGGCCTTTAACGGGCGATCTTTGTCTCGTGCGTATTTGTTTTGCAGGCTCTCTTTCCGCTGGTCACGTGCCTGCTGTGCGTCAGTCAGAAGGCCTTCTTTCTCAACAACTGGCACATCTTCCTGGCGAGCTGTCTGTCGCACCTCAAGGTAACGCCTCATTGCAGCCACACAGAGACCCATAGACTCACACAGAGACCCACGACCTCACAGAGACCCACAGCCTCACACAGAGACCCACAGCCTCACACAGAGACCCATAGACTCACACGGAGACCCATAGACTCACACGGAGACACACAGACTCACACAGAGACCCACAGCCTCACACAGAGACCCATAGACTCACACAGAGACCCATAGACTCACACAGAGACCCATAGACTCACACGGAGACCCACAGACTCACACAGAGACCCACAGCCTCACACAGAGACCCATAGCCTCACAGAGACCCACATACTCACACAGAGACCCACAGAGACCCATAGACCCACAGAGACCCACATACTCACACAGAGACCCACAGACTCACACAGAGACACATAGACTCACACCGAGAACCATAGACTCACACATAGACCCATCGGCTTACACGGAGAGCCATAGACTCACACAGAGACCCATAGACTCAAACAGAGACCCATAGACTCACACGGAGACCCATAGACTCAAACAGAGATCCATAGACTTACACGGAGACCCATAGACTCACACAGAGACCCATAGCCTCACAGAGACCCACATACTCACACAGAGACCCACAGAGACCCACAGACTCACACAGAGACCCATAGACTTACACGGAGACCCACAGAGACCCATAGCCTCACACAGAGACCCATAGACTTACACGGAGACCTATAGACTCACACATAGACCCATAGACTCACACGGAGACCCACAGACTCACACAGAGACCCATAGACTCACACAGAGACCCACAGACTCACACAGAGACCCATAGACTCACACAGAGACCCATAGACTTACACGGAGACCCACAGACTCACACAGAGACCCATAGACTCACACAGAGACCCACAGACTCACACAGAGACCCACAGACTAACACAGAGACCCATAGACTCACACAGAGACCCATAGACTTACACGGAGACCCATAGACTCACATGTAGATCCGTAGCGGGTTCCCAGGTGTAGCAAGGAGGGAGCGTATTATTATTTGGTTCTTTCGGTTAAGTCACGTCTAAAGATCTTTAGACGTGACTTAACCGAAAGAACCAAATAATAATTCCTGCAGTCACGAAAGTTCTAAAATTAAGGAGGGAGCGGTTCGTGCTACATGGATCGTCCTGTCGTAAGGGCTTGGTGAGGAGGCTTTAATCCAGCAGCGGATGGATCGAGGCTGACCATGACGATGATGACGACGTCGATGATGTTTTGCGTGCGAGCAGAATAAGGACCCCAAGATGTCCCGCGTGGCGCTGGAGTCTCTGTACCGGCTGCTCTGGGTCTACATGATCCGCATCAAGTGCGAGAGCAACACTGCCACGCAGAGGTAGGGGTCACACACACACACACAGAGGTAAGGGTCACACACACACACAGAGGTAAGGGTCACACACACACAGGTATGGGACACACACACACAGGTAGGACACACACAGGTAAGGGTCACACACACACACACAGGTATGGGACACACACACACAAGTAAGGGACACACACAGGTAGGGGACACACACACACAGGTAAGGGACACACACACACAAGTAAGGGACACACACACAAAGGTAAGGGTCACACAGGTAAGGGTTACATACAGAGGTAAGGGTTACACACACACACAGGTATGGGACACACACACACACAGGTAGGACACACACAGGTAAGGGTCACACAGGTAAGGGTTACACACAGAGGTAAGGGTCACACACACACACACAGGTATGGGACACACACACACAAGTAAGGGACACACACACACAAGTAAGGGACACACACACACAGGTAGGGGACACACACACACAAGTAAGGGACACACACACAAAGGTAAGGGTCACACAGGTAAGGGTTACATACAGAGGTAAGGGTTACACACACACACAGGTATGGGACACACACACACACAGGTAAGGGTTACACACAGAGGTAAGGGTTACACACACACACAGGTATGGGACACATACACACAGGTAAGGGACACACACACGCACAGGTATGGGACACACACACAGGTAGGACACACACAGGTAGGACACACACACTAAGGTAGGACACACACACAGCTAAGGGACACACACACACAGGTAAGGGACACACACACACAGCTAAGGGACACACACACACACAGGTAGGACACACACACACACAGGTAAGGGACACACACACAGGTAGGACACACACACACACGCACAGGTATGGGACACACACACAGGTAGGACACACACACACACAGGTAAGGGACACACACACACAGGTAAGGGTCACACAGAGTAAGGGTTACACACAGAGGTAAGGTCACACAGCGGTAACGGCCACACAGAGGGTAACACGCACACTACAAATCAGAATCAGTGTCATGATTGTGGTTGTAGATGTATGTGGAGAGCGGTGGTGCAGCGGTAAGAATGCTGTACAATGAACCCGGCGACCCGAATTCGATTCCCGCTCACGATCAGCGGTGAATATCTTAACCGGGGCTCCCCTAGGTCGACTCAGCCTCTAATGAGTACCTGGTGCGACGTATGAACATCGCCCCTGGGGAGACAAAGGCGGCCGGGCGTGGTGCTGGCCACCCACCGACCCCCTCGTGCGCCGTGCCGGCCTTCATAGGGTGCTACTCGCTAACAGCACTTGCCCCTACAGTCTGTTGAAGGCTACACGGGGGATCTTTGTCTGTGCGCTTGTCGCCTTGCAGCCGCCTGAGCAGCATCGTCAGCGCCCTCTTCCCGAAGGGGTCACGGAGCGTCGTGCCGAGAGACACGCCACTCAACATCTTCGTGAAGATCATCCAGTTCATTGCCCAGGTGAGGAAAGCCTCTCATCCAGGTGAGAGCCCCCCCCCTCCCCCCTCCATCCAGTTCATCCGCCCAGGTGAGGAGAGCCTCTCATCCAGGTGAGAGCCCCCCCCCTCCCCCCTTCCATTCAGTTCATCCGCCCAGGTGAGGAAAGCCTCTCATCCAGGTGAGAGCCCCCCCCCTCCCCCCTTCCATTCAGTTCATCCGCCCAGGTGAGGGCCGCTCACTCTGAGTGCCCCAGGCCTACCCGCGCCGCACACGTGCAAACAAAGATAAAGATCCCGCAGATCAAAGCTCAAAGTTCATGTATTAGGTATATAGCCCTGTGAGCCATTCGGCTCTTGAATCGGGTGCAACCGCAACAAACTAAAAAACATGAACAAGAAAACATCTTAAAGTGAATATGTGACTGAGTGCAAACAGAAAATCCAAGAAAAGACAGCAAAATATTGTAGAAAAATCACCGTACACCAACACTGTGTGCAAAAATCCCAGTGGGATGCAAGTCAAACAACCAACAACAACCACAAGACAACTTAGATTAAGGCCATCAGTCTAACTCTGTACTACAACAAACAAACATGGCCAAACCAAAAAACTTTTCGAAATCACCAAAATAAAGCCATGAAAGCAATGAAACAGTGCAGGTCATAGGAACTGTGACCGAATTTTCACAATAAACGACGTCAACAACATGTACCACCAAACTCTGTAGCCTTCGACAGACTGTAAGGGCAAGTGCTCGTTTAGCGAGCAGAGCACCCTATGAAGGCCGGCACGCTAGGGGGCTGGTGGCCTTTGTCTCCCCCGTGGTGATTTTTAAATCCTTTATATTAAGTTCGCTTGCTTGCGTGCTTGCTTGCTTACGACCGTGCAAATCTTTCGTTTGTTTTTTAACCCACTTCCCGTGATCCAATCGAGTTGATATTTTGCACACAGACTCGTTGTGCGTGACAATTGATTTTCGTGAAAAAATTTCCAAAATTTTACACTGTTTATGAATTTTTTTAAAAATATTTAATTACCAATCGCTTAATGGTGGCAGACAATCATCTGACCCATAGGTGGCAGCCATCTGTGTTGACTAACCACATGGCATGAAATCCCTGCCTCCACGCTGTACAGTGGAGACTATTTATAGAGCAGTTAAATTGAAGCCGCCAGGTTCTTGAAAGTGGTAAAACGGGTCAACGCTAGTGCCCTCGAGAATATACGGGGCATGTCAAGAGGTGATCTTACATATAAAGGATTTATAGTGAAAAACTTTGTTTTTACGGGTTAATTTTTTACACACCAGGTACTCATTTGAGGTTGAGTCGACCTAGGGGAGCCCCAGGACAGGTTCATGTTAATCGTCGCTGGTGTTGGCCGTTAGCGGGATTCGAACTCGGAGACTTGGGTGAATATGTACGAGTGGACTTGCCGATGACCGGTACCAGCGGTGTCAAGATCGGCCTCTGTGGAGGAGGCTCGTGAAGGACGCTACGCAACAACGAGCGGAGCGCCGGGCGGCTAAAGCACAGCAAGTTGGCACAGTAGGGGGCATAGGTGGTGCATCGGCCACTCATCTCAGCCGGTCAACCCACGGCACCTGCTGGGTCTGTGACCTCTTGCCAGCGAGCCTTCGACACTTCACCTGGCCTCAAGGTGCACTTAACCTGGCACAGGCGTGGCGAATAGCGGCCGTTGTTATTTTTGCCCTGTCGTGCAGGAACGCCTGGACTTTGCCATGAAGGAGATCATTTTCGACCTCCTCAGTGTGGGGCGGTCACCCAAGACCTTCAGCATCAACCCAGAGGTACTCGGCGCGTGGAACGGAGAGAGCGCGCGCACGCCACGAGACGTCGTCGCGTTGGTCTGCATCCGTCAGCGGACTGGCCGTGTCGATGAGGCCTACCCTTGACGTTCACGGCAAACCCTCCGCGGGAAGGAGACAGACGCGCCGGCGCCTGGCACGCGGCGTCACCGCCCAGAGTGTTGAAAATCTGCGCAAAATCTAGTTGAATTTCGATTTAAGGCTTCTTTCGTGACTGCAGGGATTCATCTTCTTGGTTTTTTGGGTGAAGTCACGTAGAAGGGAAATGATAAAATAATAAAAATAAAGCGTAATAAAATGCAATTCTCACGATGTTTCGGCCACAACGCAAGCAGCCGTCCTCAGGTGAAGAACAGGTCTGTCGGAAAGACAGCGTCTGAATGAACACCACCAAGCTTGGTGGTGTGCCTGCGTTGTGGCCGAAACGTCGTGAGAATTGTATTTTATTATGTTTTATTTTTATTATTTCCCTTCTACGTGACTTTACCGAAAGAACCAAGAAGAAATTTTTTTCTTCTTGGTTCTTTCGGTAAAGTCACGTAGAAGGGAAATAATAAAATAATAAAAATAAAATACATTTATTTTATTGTTTTATTTAAAATAATACAAATAAAAATAATAAAATATAATTATTTTCTTATGTTAAATTTTATTATTTTATTATTTCCATTCCACGTGACTTTACCGAAAGAACCAAGAAGATGAATCCCTGCAGTCACGAAAGCTTTAAATCGAAAGATAAACATATTTGAGTTTAAAAAAATATATTTTTTATCAAAGAGGACCGAGTTCTCTCACCCTGGTTAAGTCACCCCGGCCCCCCCTTGTGGCAGAGGTCACAATCAGGTACCCGATACCCGGCTACCCGTACCCGGCCGGGTACGGGTACAGGTACCCGTTTGCGACCCTGGTGCGGCCGGGTACGGGTAGGCCGTGAGTCACTGGTGAGTCACCGTTTGTCACTCATTTCCCAACGTCTTGTCTCTTCTCACAATTCAAGTTCCTAGAATCAACTCACCCACGCCTGCAACATGGCTTCATCCCAGAGGTCGCAATCGGGTACCCGATACCCGTACCCTACACAATATCCGGCCGGGTACGGGTAGAGTACGGGTACGGCCGGGTACGGGTACGGGTAGCCGGGTACGGGTAGGCCGTGAGTCACTGGTGAGTAACTGTTTGTCACTCATTTCCCAACGTCTTGTCTCTTCTCACAATTCAAGTTCCTAGAATCAACCCACCCGCGCCTGCAACATGGCTTCATCACAGAGGTCGCAATCGGGTACCCGATACCCGTACCCTACCTGTACCCAGCCGGGTACGGGTAGAGTACAGGTACGGGTAGGGTATGGGTAGGGTACGGGTACGGGTAGGGTATGGGTAGCCGGGTACGGGTACGGGTAGGCCGTGAGTCACTGGTGAGTCACCGTTTGTCACTCATTTCCCAACGTCTTGTCTCTTCTCACAATTCAAGTTCATAGAATCAACCCACCCGCGCCTGCAACATGGCTTCATCCCAGAGGTCGCAATCGGGTACCCGATACCCGGCCGGGTACGGGTAGCCGGATATCGGGTAGGGTACGGGTATTCGTTTGCGACCCTGGTGCGGCCAGGTAAGGAATCAAACCCCGTTTGCGACCTCTGCCTTGTGGCCCCGCCTGTGCCCTCCGACCACCCAGCGGATGAACATCGGGCTGCGGGCCTTCCTGGTCATAGCTGACAACCTGCAGCAGAAGGACGGCGAACCGCCCATGCCCACGACTGTCGGGGTGCTGCCGTCGGGCAACACGCTGCGCGTCAAGAAGACCTTCCTGAGCAAGACGCTCACCGACGACGAGGCCAAGATCATCGGTACGAATCACGGGGCTGGGACGGGGTTCTTCTGTGCGGGTTTCCGGGTGTTTGTGTGAGTCTATGGGTATTTCGTGAGTCTATGGGTCTCTGTGTGAGTCTCCGAGTCTGTGTGAGTCTACGGGTCTCTGTGTGAGTCTATGGGTATTTTTGTGAGTCGATGGGTCTCTGTGTGAGTCTACGGGTCTCTGTGTGAGTCTATGGGTATTTCGTGAGTCTATGGGTCTCTGTGTGAGTCTACGGGTCTCTGTGTGAGTCTATGGGTCTCTGTGTGAGTCTACAGGTTTCTGTGCGAGTCTTTCGGGTCTCTGTGTGAGTCTACGGGTCTCTGTGTGAGTTTATGGGTCTCTGTGTGAGTCTACGGGTCTCTGTGTGAGTCTATGGGTCACTGTGTGAGTCTACGGGTCTCTGTGCGGGTCTATGGGTCTGTGTGAGTCTACGGGTCTCTGTGTGAGTCTACGGGTTTGTGCGGGTATACGGGTATCTGTGTGAGTCTACGGGTCTCTGTGTGAGTCTATGGGTCTCTGTGCGAGTCTACAGGTCTCTGTGCGAGTCTACAGGTCTCTGTGTGAGTCTACGGGTCTCTGTGCGGGTCTATGGGTCTGTGTGAGTCTATGGGTCTCTGTGTGAGTCTACGGGTTTGTGCGGGTATACGGGTATCTGTGTGAGTCTACGGGTCTCTGTGTGACTCTACGGGTCTCTGTGTGAGTCTACGGGTCTCTGTGCGCGTCTATGGGTCTCTGTGCGGGTTTATGGCTATTTGTGAGATTCTACGGGTCTCTGTGCGGGTTTATGGGTATTTCGTGAGTCTATGGGTCTCTGTGTGAGTCTACGGGTCTCTGTGCGGGTTTATGGGTATTTCGTGAGTCTATGGGTCTCTGTGTGAGTCTACGGGTCTCTGTGTGGGTTTATGGGTATTTCGTGAGTCTATGGGTCTCTGTGTGAGTCTACGGGTCTCTGTGCGAGTCTACGGGTCTCTGTGTGAGTCTACGGGTCTCTGTGTGAGTCTATGGGTCTCTGTGCGAGTCTACAGGTCTCTGTGCGAGTCTACAGGTCTCTGTGTGAGTCTACGGGTCTCTGTGCGGGTCTATGGGTCTGTGTGAGTCTATGGGTCTCTGTGTGAGTCTATGGGTCTCTGTGAGTCTATGGGTCTCTGTGCGAGTCTACGGGTCTCTGTGTGAGTCTACGGGTCTCTGTGTGAGTCTACGGGTCTCTGTGTGAGTCTACTGGTCTCTGTGTGTGCCTACGGGTCTCTGTGTGAGTCTACTGGTCTTTGTGTGAGTCTACTGGTCTCTGTGTGTGCCTACAGGTCTCTGTGTGTGCCTACAGGTCTCTGTGTGTGGGGCATTAGTCTATGGAGGGGCTTGACCTCTTCGACAGGGAAGCGACGTTCAATCGGAGGACGCGAGGTGCCAACGTACGATGAGACCGCAACTGTGACTGACCCCCCCCCCTCACCTCACCCCCCCACCCCCCCCTCCACCCACGTGGTGCGCCAGGCATGGCTCTGTACTACCCGCACATGCGGCGTGCGCTGGACAGCATGCTGAGGCAGCTCGACAAGGAGGTGGGGCGGGCCATGGCGCTCACCAACGTGCAGATGCACAACAAGGAGCCCGAGGACATGATCACGTGAGCGGCGAGGGGTCGGGGGTGGGGGGCAGGGGGTGGGAGTTTCCTGGAGGGGAGGGAGGGGGTCAGGGGGGGGTCAGACGGGGTCAGGTACCGCTGAGGGGTTCGTGGCGTTAGAGGCAAGGCATGGGATGATGGTGGCACACAGACTCAACACTGACACACAGACTCAACACTGACACACAGACTCAACACTGACACACAGTCTCAACACTGACACACAGACTCAACACTGACACACAACACTGACACACAGCCTTAACACTGACACACAGTCTCAACACTGACACACAGTCTCAACACTGACACACAGCCTCAACACTCACACACAGTCTCAACACTGACACACAGCCTTAACACTGACACACAGACTCAACACTGACACACAGCCTCAACACTGACACACAGCCTCAACACTCACACACAGTCTCAACACTGACACACAGACTCAACACTGACACATAGTCTCAACACTGACACACAGCCTCAACACTGACACACAGACTCAACACTCACACACAGTCTCAACACTGACACACAGACTCAACACTGACACACAACACTGACACACAGTCTCAACACTGACACACAGACTCAACACTGACACACAGCCTCAACACTGACACACAGTCTCAACACTGACACACAGTCTCAACACTGGCACACAGTCTCAACACTGACACACAGTCTCAACACTGACACACAGCCTCAACACTGACACACAGACTCAACACTGACACACAGACTCAACACTGACACACAGACTCAACACTGACACACAGTCTCAACACTGACACACAGCCTCAACACTGACACACAGCCTCAACACTGACACACAGACTCAACACTGACACACAGACTCAACACTGACACACAGCCTCAACACTGACACACAGACTCAACACTGACACACAGACTCAACACTGACACACAGACTCAACACTGACACACAGCCTCAACACTGACACACAGACTCAACACTGACACACAGACTCAACACTGACACACAGACTCAACACTGACACACAGCCTCAACACTGACACACAGACTCAACACTGACACACAGTCTCAACACTGACACACAGCCTCAACACTGACACACAGACTCAACAATGACACACAGTCTCAACACTGACACACAGTCTCAACACTGACACACAGACTCAACACTGACACACAGACTCAACACTGACACACAGTCTCAACACTGGCACACAGCCTCAACACTGGCACACAGTCTCAACACTGACACACAGTCTCAACACTGACACACAGCCGGGTATGGGTACCCGTTTGCGACCCTTTGTCACTCATTTCCCAACGTCTTGTCTCTTCTCACAATTCAAGTTCATAGAATCAACCCACCCGCGCCTGCAACATGGCTTCATCCCAGAGGTCGCAATCGGGTACCCGATACCCGTACCCTACCCGTACCCGGCCGGGTACGGGTATGGCCGGGTACGGGTACCCGTTTGCGACCCTGGTGCGGCCGGGTACGGGTACGGGTAAGGAATCAAAACCCGTTTGCGACTTCTGCCGCTCGCCCGCCGATGCCGGCTTTGCCCGAGAGAGCGAGAGACCTCAAGCCTTCCTGCTGTTCCCCGCCCGCCCGCCCTGTTGTTTGTTTCACGCTGGCGCTGCAGCGGCGAGCGCAAGCCCAAGATCGACCTCTTCCGCACGTGCGTCGCCGCCATACCCCGGCTAATCCCGGAGGGGATGAGTCGCACCGAGCTGGTGGACATGCTGGCCAGGTAAGCACGCCTCTTGCAACGCTCGTCACTCCGCTCACTCGCTCAACCAACAACAACAACAACAACCGCCATTCGCCACTAAGTGGCGGTGACGTCACCACGACGCTTGTGCCAGGCAATGTGCACCTTGAGGCCACGTGAAGTGTCGAACGCCCGCTGGCAGGAGGTCACGGGGCAGACCCAGCAGGTGCCATGGGTCGACTGACCGAGATGACCGAGATGACTGGCTGATGCACCACCTGTGCCCCCTACTGTACCAACTTGCTGTGCTTTAGCCACCCGGCACTCCGCTCGTTGTTGTGAGCGTCGCTCCTCCGCCCTCCGTTGTTGTTGGAGGGCGACTGCCTCCAACTGCCCAGTAGCGTCCTTCACGAGCCTCCTCCACTGAGGCCGATCTTGACACCGCTGGTACCAGTCATCGGCAAGTCCACTCAGCTCCACGTCCTCCTGTACCACATCACTCCATCTCTTCTCTAGCCCGTGCCGCGCCCGTTTAGCCCCCTCGATCCGGCCAAACAAAAGCTGTTTAGGCATGCGGTGGCTGGGCATGCGGGCTACATGACCCAGCCAACGCAGCCTTGCCTGGTGGAGGAGCTCACCGATGGGACTTTGTCCAGATCTGTCGAGGATTTGTGAGCTCCTCACACAATCCAGCCTGGTTAAACCCAGGATGGATCGTAGGCAGGCCAGCCTAAATGTTTCCAACACAGACACACACCTACACACACACACCTATGTCCGTCTCTTTTTTTTTTTTTTTTTTTTTTTTTTTTTTTCCATAAAAAAAGTTTATTTTTTTGGGGTTAGATCGCGTAAATATAAACGTGTCGTTAAACCCGCCACCAACCGACACGGCCAATTTAGTAAGACTTACACAAACAGAATTGAAAAAAACCTATATTACGGATGAATTATAATGCAAAGCGTCTTTCGTATATAGGTGGCAAGCAAGAGTGGTGATCTCATATTCTTAGGTTTTTTTGGTAAAGTCACATAGGTAAAAAATGTAAATCAATAAAAGTAAAATACTCACTTGATACAGCTATCGTGCTGTGACGGTTCCACCTGAAGACGGAAGCTTGTGTTGCCTCCGAAACGTCGTGATTTTTATTTTATTTCTATTTTTACATTTATTAATTTTAATCTTTTACCTACGTCTCTCTCTCTCCCCGTCTCTCCCTCCCCGTTT